GGCCGAGCGCTCAGCGAGCCTGCCCATACGGCGTTCGCCGCACCGACGAAGCGGCGATAGCCGCTGAGGAGGAATTCGCACGCCGCGCGGTGCATCCCCGTGGTGTTCTCCCAAGAAAAGGAACCCCTAACCCTCAGCCCTAGCAAGCGGGTTCGCTGCGAGTCGCTACATCCCCTCAGGCTCCAAACCTATGAAAATACAGCATGCGGTGCCCCCTGGGTGCTCCAAACGTATGAAATTACAGCATGCGGCGCTCCAAGCGCTTCCAAACGCTCCAGGCGCTCCCAAGAACTCTCCAAGCGCTCCCGGCACGCTCCCAGGCGCTCTCACGCGTTCCCAGGCGCTCCCAGGCGCTCCCAGGCGCTCCCAAGCGCTCCCAGGCGCTCCCAAGAGCTCCCAGGCGCTTCCAAGCTTTCCCACGCGCTCCGGGCACGCTCCCAAGCGCTCCACGGCGCTTCAGGCGCTCCCGGCACGCTCCCAGGCGCTCTCGGCACGGTTCCAGGGGCTCCCACGCGCTCCCAATTGCTCCCAAGCGCTCCTGGGCGCTCCCGGCACGCTCCCAAGCGCGTTCCCAGGCGCGTGCTCCCAGGCGCTCCCAGGCGCTCCCAAGCGCTCCTGGCACGCGCTCCCAAGCGTGCCCAGGCGGTTCCAGGCGGCCCCAGGGGGAAGCTCCAGGCGCTCTCCCAGCGCTGCCAGAGGGCCCCCCCAAGGAATTCCACGGGCTCTGCCATGGAGGTGCTGCCGCAGCCATGCGCGCGCATCGTAGCGAGGGGGTGCCAGACCCACCCCCTCGCGCTCCCCCTCCAGCCGTCCGAAGCTCGCGCCGAAGGCGACTGCGTCGATGATTGCAATCGCTTCAGCGGGGGGGCGACCCCAAAGGCGAAACCCAAAGCCGCGGGCGAATGTAACTGCCGTACGCGTCGCCGTCAGCGAGGAGCCCGACGGCGCAACCACTCGCTCCAGGCCCACGGGGAACCATGGGATTGCCGCGCCAGCGCCTTCGCAGTGCTGCTTTCCAATGCCGAAAGCAGATGCCGGACCCCTGTGGAAAGGCTGCGCCAGCGGCAGCCCACCGACGACGCTCCACGCCGAAGGTGCAAACGGCTGCCTCATCGACGAGGCGACCTGACGCGCCAGCGCCATGCACCCTGCGCGCGTGCTCGCATCGGCGCGCATTGCTACGGCCGCGGCCGCACGCGCGCATCCCAACATTCACTGCCCAGTGTCGCAACCCAGTCGAAGGCACATGCAGCAACGCATGGACATGCTGCGCCAGCGGCAGCCCAACGGCGAAGCTCAACGCCGAAATCGCCAAAGGCTGCCTCTTCGACGAGGCGACGAGCCGACGCGCCTACGTCACGCGCCCTGCGCGCATGCTCAAGTGGATGCGCAGTGCCACGGCCGCGTCGGCGATCGCCTGCGCGCACCACTTCGACAGCCCCCCGTGATAGGGGGGTTGGGGGGAGAAACCCTAAACCCTAAAAGGCTTCACTCTGGGTGGTCTGGGGCGGGAGTGCGACTAACCGTGGCGCGCGCGGCCTGGGCAGCGATCCCCCCCAACAACCTTGATGTGGGGGGGATCGCAGCCAGCGCGCGCTTTCTCTAATGCAGGCCCTAAACCCTAAACCCTAAACCCTAAACCCTACCCTAAACCCTAAACCCTAAACCCTAAACCCTAAACCCTAAACCCTAACCCCTAACCCTAACCCTAAACCCTAAACCTCGCTCGCCTCGCGCGCAGACTGTTGGACGTAGGGGCCGTCGGGTGCGGGGCTCTGAAAGCTTTCAGAGTCCTGCCCCCGACGGCCCCTGCGTCCAACAGTCCGCGCGCTCGGCTCGCTCGCACCGGACCCTGCGGAAAGGGGGGGAGGGGGGGGGGGGCTTTCCGAACCCCCCCCCCCCCCCTTCAAAGGGGGGGGGGGAGGGTTTCCGAACCCCCCCTACCCCCTTTCAAAGGGGGGGGGGGAGGGGTTCGAACCCCCCCCCCCCCCTTAAAGGGGGGAAGGGGGGGGAGGGGGGGGGGGGGTCCCTGGAGCACACCCCGCCTTTTGTGTCTTCCAGGTGATCCACTGGCGCTCTTTCCTTCTCTACACTACTCCGCTCTACTCCATCCTGCGCTACTGCACCCTGCCCTAGCCTGCTCTATTCGTTCTTGTTGCTCAAGCGACCGCACAACTGTCGCGTCGCCCCACGCCTCCTTCGCGATGGCGCCCGGGCTGCACGGTGCCTAGATGGGCCCTCAATGCGGCCAGCGGCCGGCATAGCACTCGCCCTCGCGGGCTCGGACGTGCCGGTGCCCGCCATGTCCGTGGCATTGGACGTCGTGATCTGCGTGTTCGGCAGTTCGGAGTTCTTCGTCGCGCACTTCGTGGTTCGGAAGATGGATGTGAGCTCGGATGGCTTTGGCCTCGCTCTCGCCGTCCTTGGGATCCTGGCCCTGCTGGCGAAGATGGTGATCCTGGACGGCGTCTGCCTCGCTTGCCGCGGATGGTGCCGCATTCCCACTTCTGCCCGTGCAACTCGTGATTCTGGTGGTGCAAGAGATCACGGGGGGATCCCAGAAAACGAGACGGTCGTTCGGTCGGTCGTCATGCGCACCAGCAGCCTCGCTTTCCTCATCCTAAGGATCCAGGTGCGGCCAGAGGCGCTTGCGAGCTTGGAGGGCGCGTGCCTCGCTTGCCTCGCCTCCAGTGGGCTGTTCGTCGGCTTCGTTCAGTCCGACTCGCGAAGACCTTCCAGGAGAGCAGGATCTCCGCGAAGTGACTGGAACCCGTAGGTACTCTACTCCACTCCACTCCACTCCACTCTACTCTACTCGGCTCTACTTCTTTTCTCCGCCGTAGCAGACGGCAACCTGGCGACCACCTCCAGCAGAGGCGCCTGATGCGCCGCCGCCCGCGAGAGCCGCCTCCCAAGCGGCGTCCTCGTCCACCGCGCCGCCCCCCCATGCAGCGGCGGCACACCGCCGCGCTGCGGCGCCAGATCTCCGCGCCGAGCCGCTGGCGAAGCCGCCGCTCGAAGATCCAGATGTCCGCTGGGCCCCTCCCGTGAACCGCGCGTCTTGCCATCCGGGCTGCGCGCGCGTCGGCCCCTTCTTCGAGGCGGCCGTAGCAGCTGAAGACCATCGGCTCGTACTCCAGGCCTTGGTGCCGCAGCTCCTCCAGCGCGCCCGGCCTCAGCCAGTCTACTCTACTCTACTCTACTCTACTCTACTCTACTCTACTCTACTCTACTCTACTCTACTCTACTCCTGCTCTACGCTACTCTACTCCGCTCTCCTCTACTCTGCCCTGCTCTGCAGTGCTTTACTCTACTCTACTCTACTCTATTCTGCTCTACTCTACTCACCTACTCTTCTCTACCCTACTATAATTTGCTCTACTCTACTTCGGAGCTTGACCACTGTTGGACGATTGTTGGGACGCCATTGGAATGGCCACAGGAAGCTGTTGGAATAACAGGGGAGATCATGCGGATAGAGAGGAAGCCATACGGATAGCAGAGGAGGCTATGCGGATGCTGAGGAACACCCAGACAGTTTTGACGATCTCTGAACGATTGTTAGAACGCCATTGGACTAGCCACAGGAAGCCATTGGAATAGCAGATGACGCCATGCCGATACCGAGGGAGCCACTGGAGTGGCAGAGGAAGTCCTTGCGGATGCAGGGGCGGCCGCGCGGATTGCAGGGGAGGCCATGCGCCGACTGAGGAAGCCGTGCGTACAGTTTGACGATGACTGGCCATCGCTCGGACGTCCAGTCCCTGTTTTTTCGGTGTCGTGCGTGTTTTTTTCGCAGGATGATCCAGGATGCTCTTTAATAATCCCCGTCGAGAAAAAGTGCACACGTCCGAGCGATACCAAGATGACAGGGCAAAACAGAAGCGGAGAGCAGTGGGCCATTTCTGTCTGGCCTGCGCTAAGGCTCCCACAAGCAAGCCTGCTTGGAGAGGGCTCCGGGCCCGTGCCTTCGCGGCAACGACCCCCTGAAACGAGAGCGATGGATCCGCGAGCTGAAGGCCGCGAACAATACAGTCAACCCGCATAGTAAGGATGTGCGATAAGGATGCAAGGGCCTTGGACGCCCATTTCGAAGCGTTTCGAGCGGGGCTCGGCCAACGAAAGCGTCCAAGGATCGACCCAGGAGGCAAGGATGCAAGGGTACCCTTCGGAGGGATGCCTATCCTTACTCTGCGGGTCGACTGTAGTAATAAACATGAGCTCGATCCTTTGAGGCCACGACTCCTAGCAAGAAACAACGGACCCGTGCCTCGGCGGCCACAATGTCTGCAAACAGCGATTGGTCCGCGCCTTCGAGACCACGATCCCTGGTAACAATCTGGATCCGCGACTTCGAGACCAAGGCACCCCAAAAAACATGACGAGCCCGCTCCTTCGAGGAAATGGCTCCTTCTGCCCAATAATGGATCCGCGCTCTGAACCCGCGAGCCACCCAACCAGCCTTCAAACAGGCCAGCAAGCCCGCCAACCAACCCTTCAACAAACCAACTACCCAGCCAATCTGCCAACCATCTGACCAGACAACCAGCCAGCCAACCAGCCGAATTGCCAGCCTGCCGTCCGATCAGTCAGTGAACCAACCAATCCCATCGACGCGAAATCCCAGGGGGGGTGGGGGGCAACGGAGGGCGAACTCATTCAAAAATTGCTGCATCTGTATCATCCGTTGACCAACTCCTTCACGTTGGCTCCTTGCGGTGTGAACCATCGACGCAACGGCCTCAACCTGGTCGGGATGCCGTTTTCCTTCTGCGCCGAACGCCCGCGGCCCGTTCAAACAGGGCTGGGGCCAAAGATAAGAGCTGCTCCTTGGCGACTCTGGCGCGTCTACACCACATATTTTCCTCCTCGATGAATGAGGACAGTTCGCAGAAGATAGGACACATCTGCGGCGCAGTCTAACCAAGGATGGGATAATATTGAGCCCTGCAGAGAGACCGAGGGAGGATAAGGACATGAATTTACATACATATATATATAGAGAGAGAGAGCAAAAAAACTATGTAGCAAACAGAACAAGAGAATGAGAGAGAGAGAGAGAGCGAGAGAGAGAGAGAGATGAGAAAAAGATAACGCGACTGCACGGCTGAAGCCACAGCGTGAAACGGGTCAACTGGTATACTATTGAAGGCACCGACCCCGTCAACGAACGGAGAACACGGGCCTGGGAGAAGCGGCGCAGCCTGCCGTGCGCACGTGCACACCGAGGCCCGATCGGCCAGCGACATTTATCTACATCGCGGCCCAAAGAGCTGGCGAGGATGCCTCGACGGAAACCACAGACACTGCACACATACATTCCTTCGGAGGTCCACGCGGATTTCTTGGGTCGGCGCTGACCCCTCCACACACACCCCTCACTTGGCGAGCGAAGCGCACTGAAGACACAGCCTGGGGGGCGCGGGGAGAGGGGTCCAGCGCCGACCCAAGAACTCTGCGCGGACCTTCGAAAGTTCATATGTAGCATGTTTGGTGACTTCTAATGGAAGCCTGGCACTGAACCTCAGATTGTGATTTCATGTTTATTTCATTGAGGCCGCCCAAGCGGGGCTGGAGTAGATAGGGTGGTCTTGATCGCGCCGCATCGCTGATGAACCAGCGATGCGGCGCGATCCTCCGACACATTCTACTCGGACCAACATTTGGGCGGCCCGGGCTTCAGTTCACCTGAATTGGCTGCGGTACGCCCGTGCTGCCGAAGAAGGCTCCAGGCAGGTCGGAGTTCGCCAGGTCGAGCGCGGGCAGCAGCGAGGACAGCGCATCTGCCGAGTCGATGCCTGAGGGGGCGAGTCTGCATTGGAAGATCCGACCACGTCAGTCCGATCGAAATCCGAGAGAGCGGGGACGATGTTGCCTAGGTCACCTAACTTTCGAGGACGGCGAGAAGGTCTGGTTCAAGAAGGGTGATTTCGATGGCTGCTGGGGCGCCTCAGGTCGTGCTGGAGTGTCTAAGGTCGGGCTGGAGGGACCTCGAGGTCCAGCGAAACCAACCTTGTCCAACGAGCCCTTCTGGCAGCCTCCGAAACTTCACGCGCGGTTATCTTCGCGCCCTCGCCTCGCAGCCCTGGAGAAAGGCGGATGTCCAACCCAAGCCGCGACGCGCGAAGCGCGATTATCTTCGCGCCCCTGGGGGTGACCTACAGCCGGACCAAGGGCAGATGACCATCCATCAAGAGCATGAGACCCTCCGCCGGCAAAAACACTCCAAACCATGAGATCACCGAGGGTACCCTTCTCCAGAATGCACATAACGTGCGACAAGAGACGCAGAGCACTAGGGTACCCGAGCCGACCTCGATCTTACACTTCGGTCCGACCGGAAATTGCGCGCTTTGTTTGCCCTGTTGGACCTCCCGAAACCTCAACCAGAGACCTGCGCTAGCAGGGCCTCCGAACCTCGCGCTTCGCGCCGCGCGCGGGTGGGCGGCTGCCTCATGCTCTTGCGCGGCCGCCAAGGAGGACAACGCCCCAGCCCCAGCCTCGGGTGACCCAGGTCCGCCCCCTTCGCGGACTTGGGACAGCAGGATTGCAAAACCAGTATTGGAGGTTGGAGGTCGAAGCATACCCCCAAACGGTCTGAGCGTTTGGGGGCTTGTTTGGGCATCCAAGATAACGCCTACAAAGGGCGATGCATTCCGCCGCGCTACTGCCCCATGTCTCAGGTAAGCACTGCAATTATCAAAGACGGCCTAAGATCCTCCCCAGACACGCCCCAAAGAAATCTGCGACGGCCCAAAAAGCACTCATGAATCGGGAGACTCCTAAAACGACCTCCGAGAAGCTCTGGAGAGGCCTCCACATGCTCCCAAGTGCCCCCAAGAGGGCGCCACAGCCCAAGAAAGTTCCAAGACTGTACGGTCGGACCGAAGACATCATCACATCCTTCAAGAATATGAGACACTCCACTGGACAAACTGAAGAACATTTGGGGGTACCCTCCCCCAGGATGCATAAGAACATATAACACTCACGAAAAACATGTTGGTAATTACCCTCAGCGAACCGACCTCGATCTTCTCCTTCGGTCCGACCGTAAAGGGGCCCCTGAGCCTGAGACGGCCGAAAATGCCCTCCCCCAAACGCACTCAAGAGGCAACCAAGATTCTTCAGAGGCACCAGAAGATTTTCTTCATGGCGTGGCTCTCGCTCTCACTCTCTCACTCTCTCTGACTCCTGTTCCTGCAGCTCCCCCTCCGTCTCCTCCGACCGACCAGACCCGGCTGGACCGAATCACAATGACACACCAAACCGAGCCCGACCACGCAAGACCGGACCGGACCAGACCACTCCCCAGAGCTCCCGAAAATGCCGAAAACTTCCTCCAGAGGCGTAGTTGCTGCGTCGCGGCGGCGCGTATCTGCCAGAGGTCTTCGCGGAAGTCTCCAGAGACCTCCAGAAAACTCCTCCTCCTCCTCCTCCTCCTCCTCCTCCTCCCACTCCTCCTCCTCCTCCTCCTCCTCCTCCTCCTCCTCCTCCTCCTGCTCCAGGGGGCGGGCCCCTGGAGGCGGACGGCCTTTCAGGACGGCCTGCCGCTGTGCCAGAGCGGCATGGGCTCACACTGGAAGTCCTTGGAGGCCTCCAGAGGGAAATCCCGGCACGGCTGATGGAGGCCCCGGACAGGCATCGGGGCGATCAAAACCTCACCAAACAAGCACGTGCAGCGCCGCTCTTGTCCACCTGGCTCGCAAGACAAAGAAGACAAGAAGGGAGAGAAGGAATACATAGAGGCGGGTGAGGAGGACGGCGATGAGGAAGAGGATGACGGCGAGGAGGACCAGAAGGACTGAGAGAACGAAGACACGCACACGGACGAGGACGATGAAGACGAGGAGAGCGAGCACCAGAGGGAAAAAGGCGACAACATCGACGAGGGGGGGTGGGAGGACTGCGGCGTGCAAAACGAGGGGACAGCGTGGACGAGGAGGGGGAGAGCGGGGAGGACGAGGACGAGGCTCTCGAGGCAGAAGGCGACGAGGAGGACGAGTATCACGAGGCGGGAGAGTACGATGACGACGGGGAGGACGACTAGCAGGAAGACGAAGTGAACGCACAACTTGGAGGAGAATAATGATGGCAGTAAGGAAGACGATGAGGAGGACGACGAAGAGAAGAGGGAAGAGGAGCACGAGGAGAAGGACCAGGACGTGGAAGAAGCGAGGGCCCTTGGTGCTACGATAGGGACTGCCATGAGCGTCTGAGGCTGTCTTGGAGCCTCTGTGGGACCTCTTGGCAGTACCTTGGGAGCTTTTTGGGAGCCTGTCGGGGCCCTCTGGTCACGTCTGGGCCTTGTCGGGCTGTGTGGGCGTGCCTTCGGGAGCATTGGGGGCTGACACGGGGGGGGGGGGGGAATCCTCGCACGGCTGCTGGAGGCCCCAGGCAAGGCCCCAAGACGATCAGGAATCTGCCACCTTGCCCCCTGGCGCGCGAAGGCGCGGCAGAATATCAAGTGCTGTCTGGTAGGGTTGGGCTTCTGTAGTCCTCCCATGGACCCCCCCCGCGCCCTGCTGACATCCAGCTGCGCGCATCGCTTCCCTCATCGGCTGCTCCCGACGCTCGCTCTGCTGCTGCAGCTGCTGCTGTGGAGCCTCCTCCTCCTCCTCCTCCTGCTGCACCATTCCTGCTCCTTATCCTTCTGAGCAGCCCCTCCCTGAGCAAGTCCCAGACGCGTCGGTAGGGCGGGCCAGGCGCTTCGCCCGAGATACCCTCGCCACATTTGATCCCCAGGCTCGAGCCTTGCAGCAGCTCTGGCGGCGAGTCGTCCTGGGCGGCATGGCGCCTGCCTGGCGCACTCCAAGATGTCCAGGATACCCAAGGCGGCTTCCAAGACGGCCCAGGCAAGACACCGAGGCCGCCGAGATGGCAAGGCCCCAAGGCGGCCCAATGTGCCTCCGAAAGGACCCAAGAAGGCCACGAGAGGTCCACGAGAAGACCGGAGCGAGCCCAATCCGTTCCCTGCATCCTAAGGGGGGGTTCTTGTTATTTCTGGGACGCCACCGCCTCCTCACTCACCTTTCTCCTTCCTCTCCCGCTGACGCTGGACCCCACCCGTGCCCATATTCACCCATACTCATACCCCTTCACACTCAGGCTAACTCACACTCAGAATTTCTCACACTCTGTTTGCGCATGCTCAGATCCACTCGCACTCTGACTGACTGATATTCAGACCAACGCACATTGAGACTCACACGTAAGGAAGCTCACTCACAATCGGATTCTTTCATACTCAGACTCATTCACACTCAGGCTCACTCTGTTCAGATTCGCTCACAATCGGCCTCGTTTATACTACAACTCACTCATACTCCTGCGCAGCAGGCATGGCACCCGGGCCACCCAAAGGGGGAGCCGCCATGGGCCATGGGGGTGTTGCAGTGGTGCGTTCGCCTCAAAACTGGTGTTCGATCTCAATATTAATGTTTGTTTTGGGCCCTGGAGGATGAGTCATCAGAGTCCCAAGGTCACCGCGATGCAGCAGGCATGGCACTCGGGAGTTCCAGTTGAGGAGCCACCACGAGCTGCTTCACTGGCCAGTTCGTCTCCACATTGTTCGTTTTCAAGTGTAATTCCTGTCTTGGGCCCCAGAGGGTGTCTCTTCAGAGCCCCAGGATCACCGCGATGCAGCAAGCATAACATTTGGCACTCCAAGAGGAAGCCGGCAGGAGACATCTCACAGGCCCCTTCGAACCCATGCTGGCTTTCACTCTCATGAAGAACTCGTGTTTTTTTTTGTCCCGAGAAGGATGCCTTCCCGTAGCACCATCACTCGGGCTCACGCATACTCAAGTCCACCCCACACTAAAATTACTCGTACTCACCCAATCGTATTGGGACTCACTCACACTCAGACACACTCACAATCATGTTCACGCATACTCGAACTCACTCACACGCAGGCTCACTCATGTTCAGATTCACCCTGACTCAGGCTCACTCATACTCTGGCCCACTCAGGCTCAGGTGAAGCATGTGGGGCTCTTCCACGAGGGCGACGAGAGGCGCTACAGCCAGACTGGCCGGGCCAAGTTCTCCAGGCCACGGAGAACGCCGACCAGGTCGGCGACGATAAGAAATTTGCGCGCGGCCTTTTCTGCATTCCTTTGGCTTCAGCTTCACGCTCGTGCACGCCAACTACCCAACAACGACGGCCTCGCAGAGGCAGACGATTCGCGCCGCGGTGACCATCGACTGCGCGCGCCAGGAGCCCTGGGACCATCGCGGCACTCATGACCCATGACGATGCTGGGGAAACCAAGAGGTACCGATACCGCAACTCCTCAGACCCCTCGCAGGGTGCGTTCTGATCAGGATTTCGAGGCGAACCCAGCAGTAGCGACGAGGGCCTCCCAGGATGCCCAAAAGGAGGACAACGAGGGAAGGGTAGCGGTATAGGTACTTTTTCCTCCTGTGAGAGGATGTGTGGTGGCCGAACCTGCACGTGATGCTCTCACGCGCCACCCCGATGGCCGGCGTGCAGATGGTGGTGCGGTCTCCCACCCCCGCGAGTTGCTGGAAGGGGGCCCGCCCACCGCGGCGCGGGCAGGCCTGCGCCGCTTTGAGCAGCGCGAGCGGACGACGGTAGCAGACGCCGCTACTTTTTTGATGCAGACGTGCCCCTGACCGGGTTGCCAAGATAGGCGCTGGCACGGAAACCGTGCAGGTACCCAATACTCCTTAGAAGCTGACAGACATGAAATGATCTCTGGCTACGATGTGCACTGGATCTGGCGAAACGACAGAACAACAAAGTCCAAACCACTTTGGGTTCAGTCCCCACTTCCCAGCGACACTACTTTAGCAGAGCATTTCGACACCGCGCTGATCGACGAGTCGCGGCCCCCGAGCAGCCTTGTCCGATGCCTCGTGTGGACGGCCGCGTGTAGAGACGCAGCGCGAGCTTTTTTCCTTTTCACACTGGCGTCATCTCCACCGACGGTGTCGTGCATCCGACCCGATGCCAAGATCGGACGGCCCAGTTGGGGCCTGTCTGGCACCAGCTGCGCGTGCCCGTGCCGATCCAATGCCACATGCGGACGGACGCACTGCCATCGCTGTCTCTCACTGCGTGCTGCCACGGCTGGTGCAAAAAAAAAGACGGGCGGACGCGAACAATATCGGCGGGCGTGGTCTCACAAGCCTGGCTGGGCCAGGACATTTTGGTCGATACTTCTCGAGAGAAACACGACGCGTGCTGCCTATGCCTCTGTCTGCGCCTGGGAATCAGTTTCTGTTTGTGTCTGTCTGTCTGTCTGTCTCTCTCTCTCTCTCTCTCTCTCTCTCTCTCTCTCTTTAATATTCTGCTCGCATGCACTCACGGCCCTTCTTGGTCAAGCTCCATCATATTCGGACCCACTCGCACGGCGTGAACGCCCTCAGCCCCCAGTGTTTCTCTGTGGTTGCGATGCTGCGTCTGGCTGTGCGCCTGGATTTTGACTCGCGTACCCTGTCGCGCAACTCGCTCAGAGCATCAACGAGCAACGCAAAACACTATATATACATATGTAAGAGAGAGAGAGAGAGAGAGAGAGAGAGAGGGAGAGAGAGAGACCAAGATAACGTAGCACAAAAAAGGATGACGGGAAAGAGCAACGCCTACACTCGGAATCACTCACTCACCGTCTCACTCACCCGTAGCCTCCCTCACACGAAGAACCACTCATGACAGAATGCGCCAGAAGAGAGATGCCCATAATGGGGGACCCCCGCGTCAAGTGACTAGTTGGCTATCCGAACGGTCTTGACGCATTTTCGCATTATCACCTTGTCGGGCCTCTGTCGGCTCAGAACGGCCCAAGAAGCCTCCGAGATGGCCCTCAGACGGCCACGAGGCCCCCAAGAGCGCCAAACGACGGCCCAAGAGGACCCCTTGGCCCCAGAGGCCTCCCAGGCGGCCCAACGCTGGCGAGGGCCCACAGAAAGACCCAAGACGGCCTCAGTAGGCCCTCCGACTGCCCAGGACGGTGCCAGCCAGGACGGCTGCACGACGGCCACAAAGCTCCCCACATACGGCCACGAGGGCCCCAAGGCGGCGCTAGAGAGGCCCAAGGCGGCCTGAGAGGAGCCCAAGACGGATCAAGAGGGCAAGAGACCCCACGGGACCCTCGAGACTGCCCCATGGGAACCAAAGACAGCCCCAAGGCTGCCACATTGAGAACCAAGGCGAAAGGTACGACGCGTGACGGTTTTTTTCTTTACCCCCCTCATCATAATCCTCATCACGGCTCGAACAGCCGCCACTTAGAATACTGCGCTGGTACGGTGGCGGGACTTGCCGCAAGCAGCTGGGTATCAAACCACGACCACAATCCTCGACCGGGGGAGAAAAAAGGATGCTGTGTTGTGCTCCCCAAACCCCTTCCAGGGTGCCTCTTTGTCAAGGGTTCCGAGGCGAATGCAGCCGTGTCGGCGAGGGCCTCCCAGGAGGCCCCAGAGGCAGAAGGTGGAAACGTCTCGCAATCTGCACGTTTTCTGCGTTCCTCCCCTGACGACCCTCGATCGATCGTCGATTTTCGAACACTGGCTCGTCATCCTCGGTCATTTTGACGGCCCTGGAACCTGGGAGTGGTCCTCGGAACCCGAATGCGCCCAAACAACTACTCCGACTTTTCCTTAATAAGCGTCGGGGGGGCGTCACCCCCGCCGACAGCCCCACATCGACCCTCTGTCGCGGGTAACCACCGCGCGCCGAAGGCACTCCGACCCCCGTCGCGGCGCGACGACGAGGCGAGGTTGACCCCCGTCGGGGGGGTACACCCCCACGCTTATTCAGAAACCCCGAGTGTGGGACTCCATTCAGAAACCCCGAGTGTAGGACGCCTTTCCTCCAAGAGGCAGTCTTGGCCCGCGCCGGTCGGCCCATCCTCGATTCGGGAGCCCCGCGGCGCCGGGGTCGAGCGAGCGGTCGCTCCAGAGGCCGAGCATGCCACAGCTGGACACGCTGCGCAGCGCGGCCCGCAGCTCGAAGAGAGCCTGGGC